TGTGTGTGTGTGTGTGTGTGTGTGTGTGTGTGTGTGTGTGTGTGTGTCAGTCATCCTCCAAACCTGCAAGAAACATTCATCATCTGGTGTTTGATGTTGGTGTGAAGTTTGAGCCAGCATGGGCCACAATCGCACAACAGAACTCAGCACAATGTGGCCATTGTTGAAGTTAGGAAGCCCTCTGCCTGTGTGTGTTTCTGTGCTGGTGTGTGTGTCGGCAGGCAGGGGCTGGTGCGATTGGAGTGGGGGTGCAGTGGCGTCTTAACCACATTCCTAATTGCAGCAAATGACTTGGGAGGTTTGAGTGTAAGATATGTGAATGGAATCTCTGTTGCTGTGGGCTCAGTGACAGATGCATCACGAGCCTGATCACTGAAGTCACCCAGATTCTCCAGTTAATGACAGCATCAGCTCCCTAACATCCACCATCTGCTGGCACAAACATGACTGGTTAACTTGACCAGTACACATTAGTGTCCAGACAGAATAGACAACAATTTGTTTTGACACCAATGTGTCCGCTCTGGCATCTTTTTAAAAAGTGAGACAACAGATTTAAACTGATAAATGTGCAGCGTGCAAGCATGGACATACTGATAGTGCATGTTTTAAAGGATAAACTGTATGGATTAGCTATGGATGGATGAATGTTCTTTAAAAATTCCTCCAGTTGTTGTCCTCTAACCTAAATCCCTTTCACATTTATTCCAAATAACTGTGCGGTTTCTCAGCTCTCATCCTAATCTAAGTATCTTGAACCTATCTATCTAATAAACTGAACCCACAAGTCAAAGCAATCTTCAGTGTGTTTTCGTGCAGCACATGTAATGTTGTTAACCCATCATAGAGTAGAGTGCAGACCTCCACCAATGCTCACCAGTTCCTTTAAATTCAAATCAGCTGCACCAAATTACTTGGTAACATCTCGCGATGTTAAAGAACATAAAATAACATTCCTGAATATGTCCTCTGATCTGGATCCACTCCAAAATCGAATGGGTTCTCCTCCGACTCAGATCACATCCTTCCATGTTTAGTGGAAATCGGTTTTGTTGTTTTTGTCTAACATACAAACAAACTTGACTCATCTTAGTTAATAAAGTTTCAAGTGTTTAAATGGACAGATGGATCACGTATATGGCACATGTAGCACAAGTTGTTTTATAGCAAAAGATGATCTATAGAGGAAAAAATATTAACGTTATTTATTGCAAAACTGTAAATCTCTGTATGCTCTTCCATTGAGAGACTTCTGTCAGATCAGAGTGATACACATTCAATATATCCATGGCGAGAGGTTAAGTTGCTTGCTTCTGTGTCCCCTCGTGAGTGAAAAGGTGCATAACTTGGTCTTTACCTGAGTTCAACCAGCCACGTAAACAACACTTTCATGTCCACTTCTGCCCTGGGTGGCTGCGTAACATGAGCTGTGAGAGGAGGTGAACCTGCCCGCCCTCGTATTGTCTCAGGCCAGTGGGAACAGAGAGATTGGTGGGACTGTGTGGGTCGAACAGGTGGACCCCTGCAGGTGATGGCTCCTTTCTTCACAGATTAGCTGCACTTTTGTTCGAACAAAATGAACACAGACTTGAGAGAGGTCTGTTTGGCCCTGCAGTCAAATCAGTGGTGAAGATATTAGGTTTCACTAGAGACTTTAATCCCTTTACATATTTCACTGGTTGAATTATTGGGAGAAGTTAATGGTAAGGTAAAGGAAAGGTAAAAATGTCTTAAATAAACAAACTGTAGAGTATTAAACATGATTCTGACCTTAAGGAAGAGGGAAAGAACACATTTAATCTATGTTATGGTCTGATATTGCAACATTACCATTTGTTTTTGACTTGTGTAAAGCTGTTCTTCTAATCATTGTTTTAAAGAAATATAACTGCAGCTGTTAAACCTCCACACTCCCCATTATCAATCTTTTTAGTTTCATATGTCCATGCAGAGAGGTATATATCCAGTTATTGTCCATGGTTCGAATCACACATTTTGCCACTTTCATGTGGAAATTGTTTGGTTTTAGGAGCCTTGCAGCTCAGATCCTGCTCAGACAGAAGGGCCGGCTTCTTAAATTTCACCAACGACATAACAGAGACTGGTGGAGGAAACCAAACCCAAGAGTTATCAGAGAGGCTTGGAAACATGTCCAAAATGCACAGATGGCATCTGCAATTTGCAAATGTGTCACGCCACAAAATCATAGTGATGATTGCAATGCAGGGTCCATTTGATTTTACACTTCTATAATACGTAAATATAAGTCCAGTCTGATTTCTAATGGTATTTAAATAGACATGCAATGTACATTTCATGCTGATGTTGTAACGCTGGGCAGATTTTGTCTGTTCTCTGCAATCTAGACGACTCACACCATTCCTTGAAAGAGATGCTACAGATAGTAGCAGTGTTAATGGTTGGATTTGACAGATTTGCTGCCTTCATTGAGAGTTTATTTAGATTTAGAAGCTAAAAGGTGAGTCAGAAACGTCAGCTCCTTAAGTTTCAGTATAATGAAGCGCTGGCAGAGGAAACCAAACCCAGAACCTATGGGAGAGGCAAGGAAACATGCTCAAAATGAACAGTTGGCAAAAAGAAATTAAAAGAGGGACTTTAATTTTGGTGCCTTACCACAAATAAAAGAATAAATAAAATGTTGTTTAAATTAAAAAATTAAAAAACAGCAGGAGACTTCTCCCAGTCTAAGTGATAAAATCATTCATACAGTGCAAAGTCATGACTAGTTGACCTACATCCATAGTTAAAATAAAATGAATGTTCATGCTGTTGTAAACTCTGATGCAGAGTGGTATCAATTTAATTGAGCAATCTACATGAGTAGAAGTAACTTAGTATAAATAAAATCATCTTGCAGATCTCTCACTGAGTGTCACTGAAGCGTGTGGATGCTGAGTGGCCATAGAAGCTGTGTCTGCATCAGTGGCTGCGTTTAGCCCAGCTTTAAATCGCGCTGTGTGAAAGTGTGAGCAGCTGATCCTGGCCCTGTTGTGACAGTGGCATGGTCCTTTGTGGAGGGACCATCCGCAGTAAATCTGCTCCACTCCCCTCGCACAAAGGACCTCTTCCTGGGTGGGGGGTGT